GCAGGATCTGCAAATAAATCCGGGCCGCATCATGGCATGATGGATCATCGAGTCGGCTAAAAATACATGGTGGGTGGTGCGTCGTCGCCGTTTGGTGTCGCGTGACGGATGGTTTGGAGAAAATTTGGCGATGTTGAAATATCGATGGCATTAGAGGTTACCACTCTTGCTATTCAACCGAGCCCCTGCTGCGTCACTGGCCTATAGCCGCGTCTGAAATGGATCAACGCGCTTGGGCTAAGACACCTAGGTTGCTAGGTAGGTAGGTAAATGAAGATCCCTGCCGTGGCTGGTGAAAATCCAAGCCCCACCATCGACCACCTCTGTTTCCATCGCGAGCAACGAGTACGAAACGATTCACAGCTTCACGGTCAGCTCGCACCCGTACGATCGAGCTCGCAAGTCAAGCAGGCAGATACGGAGGACTTCTTCATCGCGTGGGAGGAAAGCACAACATCATGTCCAGTTCGCACACCAGCCTTAGCGCAGCGGCCGACGACCGCAAAGCGCGACTCGCCAAGTTCAAGAACCTGAAGAGGAAGCAGCCCATCGACGAAGTCGCCGCCCCAGAGTCCGAACGCTCTTCGGCACCACCAGAAGAACCCGACGTCGCCAAATTGCACCTGTCCGGACGCAACTATGACCCCGAAACCCGCGGGCCAAAGCTCGGTTTCGAGGCACCGCCGATACAAGACCTCGACAAGCCGACGCTGGAGGAGCAGGCAGCGGAGGTCGAGGCAGAAGTGAAGCGCAAAGCGGCCGAAGACGCAACTGACGATAAGGGGATCGACCTGTTCAAACTCCAACCAAAAAAGCCGAACTGGGACCTGAAGAGGGATCTGGACAAAAAGCTGGAAATACTCAATGTGAGAACAGACAACGCCATCGCCAAGCTGGTACGAGAGAGGATCGCAAACGCACAAAAGGCCGAAATCAAGTCCAAAGAAGCCGGAGTGGAGGGCGCGGGAGGCGATGCGACGGGGATTGACGGCATCGCGTTGGTGGAAGGAGTGCGCGTTCGAGAGCGAGAAGAGGAGGAAGAGGAGCGTAGGGAGAGGGAGGCTGACGAAACGGATGTGTAATCTTGGGAATGGATGGGACGGCTGACCTTGAGGCTGGACGAATTCTACAC